AGTCGAACAAAGGCAGAGACTTTATTTTCTCTCTCTCTCTTTTAAAGAGGTTTTCTCTCTCTCTTTTAAAGAGGAAGTATGTACTCTCCAAGAAGAGAGAGAGAAAGAGACACTGAGAAAGAAATGAGAATTCTCTCCTGCAGGGGGGGAATGGCCATGCAACAATCCTCCTCCATTCTCCTCCTGGGATCTCGGGCATGCATGCACACATGCCTGGAGTGATTTTCAAGTCGCTGGGTTCAGGATTTGAACTGTAGTCGGCTGTTCAGGATTCTAGCAACATAACCATTATACTATCTACTGGCCACTCGACTTTCTTTCTTTTAATAGCAAAGCTGGTTAAGAGTGATTGAGATTAATGCCAAAAACTAGATTCAATATTCAACTCTGAAACCTGGTGAAAATCTGAAGTGTATATGCTCACAATATATACCTTCCCCGAGCTTTGATCAGTTTATATTAAATAACAAGTTAACAGTTGATATCACAATGTTGAATCCTGGTATTTCCCAGACACATCTTCATGGTTTTATAAGGTCTGGAGTATTAGTAGAAGTACCACAGAGACAATAGGTAGATTTGTGTAAGACTCCTCATTAGAAGGTTAGAATATTATCAGCCAATTCAAATTTTTCTATTCTTACATTTTCACTAACAGCTTAAACAAAATTTAACAGCATAACCAAAGACAAAAACCAAAGTACTAATCTTAGCTTATCAAGTCATATCCTCTGAGACTCATCTAGGAAGGGCAAAGAAAACCCACAAGACAGTCATGGAGTGTGTTTCTACTCAGTATCATTAAAGCATGCTTACTATTTCTCGCAAGTACAATAATGAGTTTTTAAGAAGGAAATTTAATTGAGCTTTAATCAAGCAATTAAATAACAATGACAATAACATCCAGCACCAACAACCACAATTAAGCTGCTTTCTTCTGTGGTTGTGTGTCCATTGGTGAAGGGGATGGGGTGTTGAGGTATGGCCTGGACCACATTTTACAAATGATGTGAGTCAGTTATTTTATTACAAATACAATGTAAACGAATTCCAGGATGAAACCATACAGGAGGTAACTGATATTCTAGCCACTTTAAAGAAACACTGTGATGTTTTCAAATATTGCAATGTGCAGCAGTCTACAATTTAAGCATACAATTAACAGAATACATTTTTATTTTTCATCAGGGGTCCTAAGGCTACCACCTGGACTTAAGGCTTTTTTTGCAAATAAACTAAAGAGATACCGATGTGTTTTTTTCCTGTTATAAAAGCAGCCCTTCTAAGGGAATGGGTGTCTTGGCAGTTAGGTTAACAAATGCTACCCTTAGCAGATTTTCCTGAAAAACCTTGGAGAGCCTGTGTCTATTTTTGCCTCCATTAATTGCTCAGATAGTCCTGGATACTCTTTGACTCCTGGCACCCTAAATACAGCTAGACTTTGGACAGGCTTTTTATTCCGCGGGCCTTTGGAGGAGTGCTAATTACAAACTATTTAAGCACTAGAAACCCATTCACGAAGCTCCGCCAAGTCTCAGATTTTAAAGCATTTAAAAATATCCTTGCAACAGCCATACTACTTTATCCTTTATCTATTTTTGGAGGCTCAATGTTTGTTTTGCTGGAAGAGAAAATTAAAACATGAAAAGTATGCCATGAGCAAGTCTGCAATAATAAGCAGCACATACATGTTGTGGAGGAAAATATTCAACATAAAACAGTCAACATAAAAACAGATTCTGCCGAGGCATTTTTATAAATAGCAGTTATTATTTGGCTTTCAACTGCAACGCATTTTAAATAACATGCCCTTAAAAAGTTGTCAAGTTCTTTACTTCATATAAATATAATTTCCTGATCTTAAGTTTCATAAAATTATGATGGAAAACTATTACTGCATTCCATTAGTTTCATATGTAATTTTAAAATCATTATATTATTAAAATCAGAAGCACAAGGAGGGAAGAAAAAAATAGAAGCATAACTAAATAGACCCAAAGAAGTCATTTATTGGAAAATATGCACTACTCTGATAAAATCTGAATCTGCCTCAAAAACTTTTAATCAAATGTTTTAAATGGCTATTATATCATGCAGAGATTTATAGATAAAGTTGTCCCAACTAGAACAACATGCTATCAACTGTTCATAACCAATTAAGCATACTCTGCCTTAAGAGTCCCCTTGAATTCCTAAGCACCCAAACACAGGAGGAATTACACTTTAAACCCTTCCAAGAATAGTTCTAGAACTGTTCACCTCTTATGATTACTGCAGTGCACCCAAGTAAAATTCTGCACTATATCTTTAAAAGCAAAAATCACTTTCAAAGGATCTGAATCATCTCCATCTGGGAAAAACAGAGGTGAGTACAGGAAAGGTGCAGCTCTTTCAGTAACAGGAAAATGAAGTCTTAATGCAGGAGAAATAAAGCAAACTGCCCGATGCCCACCATGGGGTGGCACCTCCCGACCCCCATCACTCATTGAGGGCTGCTGGTCATGGGCAAGGCTGATGCAATCCTCCATCGCATGGTCCCCAAGACCAAAGGCTGTCTCCAGTAGTGGTGGTTCAGAGGAGCTGCAGCTTTGTTCGCTACTGCTGGCAGACACCAGAAACCATGGTAACACTTACAGGACCCGAAACACCTTTATTCCCTGCTTCAGAGCTTCCCCGCATCAGCCCACACGATTCGACTTGGCAATATAGAAAATGGTAAAGAGGGATTTAGAAAATACTGAGGAACACCACAAATCAAGCTCAGCATTGAAATTGTGACTTTGCTAGCATTTTCCCAGTATTTCCTGCCTTGCAACTAGTAGATAGGTAACCGAAGGGGCTTGCTGTGAATTATATAGTACCCAAGCCAAAAGCAATATAATTTCTGTGAGAGCACATGCGCCATGACAGAAGAGCACATCTGCCCAGAACGACAATTTTCCTGGGAAGGCCTGTGTGGCGGTGAATAGGGCTCTCTCTGATATGGAAGCTGGAAGAGATTATCAGTGCTTCCAGCCCACAGTGAGGTAATTTTAAAGGCACCTTTTCCTTCATTTGTTCTGCATTCACTGAATGTACATTTTTTGATGTCAGAGGGACATTGCAAAAAAGATCAGACGAGATCGTCTGACAATGGAGCCAGAGTTCAAAGCTTTTATATTTTCAGGTAACAGCATGACAGTGTGTCGGTGCCAAATCTTCCGAGGGCATGTTGCTGCAACCCTGTCCGTGGCATCTCAAATGATTCAAGACAAACAAATCACTTAGTCGTTGAACAACCAGAATGTCTGATATCGTCACACAGACGTTGTAGCAATGGCCACTAATCCAAGTTCCTCTGTTCTGGTGAGAGGAGAAAATTCCTTGGCTTTGGCTTAAGGTTGCCTTTTTAAGTTGCTCTTTCAAAAACTATCATATGCCAAAGTTGTGAGGGTGGGATATCCTGTAAGAAGAGCCAGAAAGGCAGCTCTAGATGCCTCCTGCTGTAAATAAAAGAATTAGGGCGTGGGAGGGTGGGAGTCATCAGAGGTGACTGGGGAGACCCGTAGAGGGAGAGCCAGGTCCTCCTTGGAGCCACACTCACAGCCCGCAGGTGAGAGCCCAGTCTCAGAGGGGGGACTCGGGCAGCTGTGCTCAGACTTGGGGCCTCCTGGCCGACTGTGCAAAGATGCACGGACTCCCAGGGCCAGCACCACGAAGCGATAGAGCTGCAAGACCACCACCAGGAAGTTCTTCACGGCAAAGAACACCAGCATCTGGTTTATCACTTGGAAGTAGGTCATCAGTATGAGACGCACGACAAGGAAGGGGCCATCCTGTATGAAGACGCTGATGCCGATGTTCCACAGATCGGCACTGTACTGGCAGAAGAACAGGCTGGGGAACCCTCTGGCTGCCACAGACAAGGGGCACACGACATGCTGCACTGAAAACGTAAGACAGGAGAGTTAGCACAGCCCTCTGAAATGCAGAGCTGTGAGAAGAGAAACTTAGGGACTAGCCATTAACACAGGTGCTCCACTGGGGTAGTGAAGGATTGGAAATTATAATGTTATTCTGGGTGAAAAAAGTGAAAGCACCCTCTCCCCCACACTGCCACCACCAACATGGTTTCCATTTGTAAAATATCTCAGATCATCCTCTAGTTCTCACTTTCTGGGGGAAAGCAAAATAAATGGAATATAGAGGAGACCAGCAGATGATGTAATGGCTACATCACTGGACTCCCATGTAGATGAACATGGTTCAAGTCCCAGATCTGGCCACTTAAAACTCACGCTGGGCATGTGTATGTGCATGTCCAAAATCCCAAGAGGAGAATGGAGGAGAAGGAATTGCAGCATGACCAGCCCCCCTGGGGGAGTGATTTCTTACTTTCTGTCTCTGTCTCTCTGGTGATTGCAAGAGTCTTATAGCAAAAATCTCTTAAAAAAAAAAAAAGGAATTGAGGGACCAAGGGACAAAGGAAACTGCCAGGTGGTTTCTGGGGTCTGCAGTTGTTCGAAGCATCAAGTAAAGGAGTAGAGCTACCTCTCTGGGAGCCTTTTTTCCGACAATGAGATACTGGCCATTGCTCAACTTTCTTGGGTCTCAGTTTCTTCCTTTGAAAACTGGGAAAAGGGTGCTAACTGTGGGGAAGGGGCCCCTATTCACTGGCTCATCTGTTTCCATTAGAATAATGAACACCTGACTTCTCTCTACTTTCTTCCTCGCCTTCCCCTGGGGATATTGAATGACTTGCTTGACTTATAACTTTGGGAACTGGAATAAAATACTTATGAGCCAGACCATTCTAGATTCATTTTTTAGATCTCCCTGTTTACTGGATGACTCACTCAGACGTGTGTATATTGAAGTGCTTATATTCAAATTCAAATTCAATTCATGTTAATAATATTTTTCTAATGGTGGGATGGGGAGCAAATAAATGCTATTATAATTTTCTTTTGTCCTAATTCTTTATGATTTTGTTTCACAGCTTATAAGAAAGGGTGGATATAATTACCAATTTTCCAGTTTCACAAAAGGAGGTCCAATTGACAGATGAACCTTTTCGTTTTAATTTCCAAAATGTAAATTTAATTAAGGGTCAAAGCCAGAAAAGAATTCTTTTATATTAATGAAACCTTCCATTTGGAGTTTTCAAACAAAGAATGCCTTCGTCTACAGAAACCTGCAAATATTATGAAGCTGCTTTGATATGGGTGAACATAATGTTCTCTTTTTGGAAAATACAACAGTGATTTAGTCAGAAGTAACATTTGGTCTTTGTTTTTCAAACAGCTGTATAATATTATCACCTCTGAAAGTTTACAAAATTTCTTTCTCAAATAAAAATTTTCTTAGCAAGTCTATAAACCACAAGATATCAGAGAGTGAGAACCAGCCAAGTGAATGACATACACACACACATGCACACAAAGAAAGAGAGAAAGAAAGAAAGAAAGAAAGAAAGAAAGAAAGAAAGAAAGAGAAAACCACCTAAGATAGATAATAGCCTTTCCTAAAAAGTTAGGATGGGAAATACCTCCCAAAAAATCATCCAAGGGTATTATTTGATATCTAAATTGATGGCACTTAATATTCTATCAATAGACTCCAGCTTACCAATGAGTAGAGCCTCCCTTCTAAGCTAAGACATACTGTGTGTGTTATAGCATACATTTGTTCATAATTATCAATCATTAATTAGGCTTTTGTTATCTCAAAAAAATGCCGGAGCAACTTTCCATCTATTCCAATGATAATCTTGTTTCAGAAAGTGGATGTTAATGTAAAAAATGGCATCAGATCTCTGAGCTTATCAAAGTGAGCCAAAAAAAAAAAAAGTCAAAAAAACATTAAATATCCCTGCTAATATTGAGGCTAAGTGAGAAATCACCTCTTGGGGGTATAGCCACATAGCAATCCCTTCTCTTCCATTCTCCTCTTGGGATTTTGGGCACACATGCACGCGTACCCAGTATGAGTTTTAAGCTGCTGGGTCCAGGTCTCAAACCACAGTAGACTACACGGGAGTCTAGTGACATAACCATTATGCCATTTGCTGGCCCCAAGAACATGTAATTCCTAAATTCTAGTATTTCTTCAGTATAAAGTGGCATCCAGAAGAATTTACAAATCAAAATTCCAGGTTTCCAAAAACTTCTGGATGACTCCAGGTTACCACTGTCCAAGCAAACTTTGTGTGATAGTAGAAATATTCCTCCTCTGCTGTCCAATACGGCAGCCATGTGTTACAGTTGAACACTCGGAAGGCGGCTCATGTGATGGGGAAACCAAAGTTTTTACTCTATGTAATTTTAATGGGAAGAGCTACAAGTGGCTAGTGGGCACCACAGTGGGCAATACAGCTCCAGATCATCACTAGTATGAAACGGCTGGGAACTAGTTTACTCCTTGCAAAACCTATGAGCTCATGTCTTCATTTCAGTAAGACCAAGTGGAATTGCAAGGGCCACCACTTAGAAAAATTTTAATTTTCCATGTGTGACACAGAAACTGCTCTTACCCTCTCTGAAATTTAAATACAGGAAATTGACAAAGGGAATTGAAAATGACCCCTTACAAATACACACACACACACACACATACACATAATTTATATATCTATATATCTTTATCTATGTATATATTATTTTTTCCTCTTAGATTTTTTAAAATAGTGTGTCTCAGAAAGACCAAAAGCAAGAAATCACCTCCCAGGAGGGATGGCCACACTGCAATCCCTTCTCTTCCATTTTCCTCTCAGAATTTCTGGTACACACACACACACACACACACACACACACACACACACGCCTGGTGTGAGTTTCAGGCTGCTGAGTCTAGGACTCAAACTGAGGTTGACCACGTGGAAGTCCAATGCCTTAACCACTATGCCACCCACAAGTCCCAGACCCCTTATAAATATTAAGAGACAACACATATGCCAGCAGCTTGTTAAGCACTTTAAAAACCTGTATCTTACTGAGTTGTTACAAGAACCCTTCAGCTACTATGATTATCATTCCCATTTTATGGATGATAAAACTGAGTCAGATATGTCCTAACAGACAGTTTTACAGACCATAAGTACGGACATCACTGACAGAAAAAAAAAAAGAAAACTGTGGGATTATGGCTGGCCCTATAGCCTACTGGTTAGGAAAGCCAGATCCTGTGGTTTGAATCCTGGCCCCAGTGGCTTGAAAAACACACAGGGCATGTGGGCAAGCAAGCCCAAATCCTGAATGGAGACACTGAGGAGAGGGTGACCACACCAAGGGAGGTGCTTTCTCCCTCCCTCTTTCTATCTCTTTCTGCCTCTCACCTGTGAGTGCATGTGCCTTCTGTCAGAAAAAACAAAAACAAAACAAAACAAAAGAAAACAAAACGTGAGACTATCCACTCAACTATCATAAAGTCATCATGTACCAAAGCGGATGCACTTGTGACTTTCCAAAATTTCAATCTACTTTCATTCTAAACCGAACTGGAGCCAACACAGGAATATCAAAATAATAATGCTCTCAACTACCTCCTTAGCTTGAATGCAGTTTCTAATCAAGAGTTGTAATTTTTTGCACAAACATCAAGAGACCTACCTGCCAGGTCAAGTGGAAACTGCAGCATGCTCCAAGTCCATATAACAAGGATGGCGTAGACTAGCGCAGGGCTATTTCTAAAATGCACAGAAATTTTTAAATTAGCAATAGGAAGTATAATTACATGCAGAAGAGTGGAAATGTCTCAACCCATAATTGAGTGTATTCCTAATAGACCTCTTGGGAGTTGCCAAAATATCCTGGTGATATAATAAAACCATTTAAAAAAAAGTCCCACAAGGACCAGCAGTTAGCGTAATGGCTATGTCTCTGGACTCCCATGTAGTAGACTGTGTTTTGAGTCCCAGACCAGGCAGCTTAAACTCACGTCGGGTGCATGTGCTTGCATGCCCAAGATCCCGAGAGGAGAATGGAGGAGAAGGGATTGCGGCGTGACCATCCCCCCTGGGGGGTGATTTCTCGCTTTCTGTCTCTCTGTCTTTCTGGCAAGCACACGTACCCTATAGCAAAAACCTCTCTAAGAAAAGAGAAAAAGTCCCACACAATCATAATGAAATAATGAAGTGACTTTCTTTTTTTTTTTTTTTAATCTGGGACCACAGTTGGCATAATGGCTATGTCGCTGAACTCCCATGTAGTTGACTGTGGTTTGAGTCCTGGACCTGGCGGCTTAAACTCACACTGGGCGTGTGTATGTGCGTGGCCAAGATCCAGAGAGGAGAATGAAGGAGAAGGGACTGTGGCATGGCCATCCCCTCTGGGAGATGATTTCTTGCTTTCTGTCTCTCTGTCTCTGTCTGTCTTTCTGGCGAGTGTACACGCCCTATAGCAAAAACTTCTCCCCCCACCCCCCCCCAAAATCTAATACTTAGAACCCAACATATGCATGAACAAGCTCTTTGATCCCTTATTGCTGTCTTAATTAAAAACAAACAAACAAATAAAGAAACAAACAAAAAATAGAAGCATTATGGGAGAAGAGAAATGATAGAAAAAAATGTTAGATATTGACATGGTTACTGCGAAGGTCAATTTCAAAAAATTTCAGGGGGAAATCTGATCATTATTCCAAGACTCTAAGATTCTAATTGAAAAGGGATCTAAAAAGGGCTAAACAATGCTCAAAAATTAAGCACTCACCACATTAAGGAAAGTTGTCCTTAGGTGAAAAACAAGTGGGGAGAGAAATGGAACAAAGGTTTTCACAAGATACTGTGTTGTAAGGCAATGCATTCTGTACATTCACTATTGTACCGTCAGTGCCCACAACAGTGCCTGGCAAGTAACAGGTACATTTGTGGAAGAAATAGTGTGAATGTATAAAAGAAGGGTCCATACTTGAGCAAATATACAAATGTCATAGACCAAAGAGAATGATCTCAAGGAGTAAAGCCAGAAATAGCAAAGATATTTAAGAAGCACCAAAATCACATCTAGTTTTAATAATTTTAATGCAGAAAATACAAGGAAGTTATCAATTTGAAGTCAGCAGTATAATGATAGATTTGTTTCCATATTCTGTGAAGAGGGCTCTTCAGATTGGAGAGGGCTAGAAAGACGTTAGAGATGAGTAATTGAAACCAAACTAAATGAGGTGATTGTAAGGGATCTCCTTAAATGCTTCAAGTGTTGCCCTGAAAAATTCAATCTGAAAACTAAAAAGAGAATTGGTAAAATGAGATTTCTAAGCCATCATTATCTGTCCTGGCAGTTCATGGTGGAGACAAGGTTGGTGACAGAAAAATGGAATTTCAACTTCCAAAAGAAGCAGAAATATATCTTAAAGCACAAAGGCACATTGGCTATTAATTCCTACTTAGATTATATATAAGTGATTTCTTAGAAGATTTCTGAGAGCCCTTATAGAAAAAGACAGTGATTATTAAGAATCAGCACAGGTTCTCAGAGAACAATTACACTCAACTAAACTTATTTCCTCTTTAAAAATAAAAAAAATAGAGTAAGGATTACCAAGCAAATAAAGCTATATAAATTGAAAATAGACATTTGGATTTAAAGAAGGTTTCAGAAAAAAACTCCTATACTGTCCTTATTGACAAAATTAAAAAATGTTCTGGGTATGAGTACTGGTGGGTGGATGGCTCACTCTAAATGACTCCCCAAAGGGAGCTGTCTGATGGGTTGCTGCAGGCTCTGCCTGTGATTCCTTTCCACCTCACATGCCATCAACGGCTTGGCTGATGACATTGATGGAAGGTTTCTCATATACACACACGACATGGAGCGTGGATAGAAAACCAGTACCCTGGAAGATACAATCAAGATTCAAACAGATGTCACTGGATGACCTAGATTAGGGTAGAAGAGAGAGCATTTCACAGCAGCAGCCAGGAAAAGGGCTCAAGGATTTTCCCTTACTATTATCTAATTATGAGCCTACAGTGTGACATGATTTATGATTTTCTAAAACCAAATGCAATCATAGTTTGCTTCATGAGAAATGTAAGTCTAGAATGTTAAGTGGAAGTGCCTTGGGAAGGCAGACAAGTTTTCCTTCTTTCCAATGTCAATGTCTATACACGGTAGACCTTCAAAAAGTGCCCTGAATTTTAAAATAATGTTACCTATAGTTTTGTGTTTTGTTTTAGGTTTTTGCCATAGAGCATGTGTGCTCACTGGAGAGAGACACAGAGAGGGAAAGTGAGAAATCCTCCCACCGCCACCACCAGGGAAAGATGGCCATGCTAATCCCTTCTCCTTCGGTCTCCTCTCAGGATCTGGGGCACACATGCACATGCGCCTGTGTGATTTTTCAAACTGCTGGGTCAGGGACTCAAACAGCAGATGGCCTTGTGAGAATCCAATGCCCTAACCACCGCTCCACCTGCAGGCCTCATTACCAGTAGTTTTTAATCTCAGATGTATGTACCAGCCGATTTTCAAAATGTTTTACTCTGTGACCACACACTTAATCCTCCTATTGCCTCAACAAAAGTAGGCACAAGGGTTACCCCTATTTCATCAATGGGAAAACTGAGGCATAGAGAGTGGAGGATATTGTTCCAACATGACACGATTATAAATGTTGCTAGTGGAAGTCAAAACTAGATAGCTGGTTTCATCCTTTACCATGTCAACTAAAATGGAAAGTTTTAGCCCTCCTCAATTCTCCAGTGTTCAGAACACACCTGAAATGTTTTGTGTTGTGCTCCATGGTTCAGGAAGAACATTGATAAAGTCATTTGTATAAAAGGAGGAGGCCAGGTTGGTAAGCATATGCTCTGATGCCAAGTGGTCAGAGTGTAAATAGCAGCACAACACTCAGAGAGAAACAGGACGTGGGGGTCTCTACCCACGCTGACCACTTACTGTCAAGAGCTACATAAATATGAACAAGTCGCTTAATATCTGTATGCCTTAGTTCACTCACCCACCTATGAGGATGGCAATTCAATGGCTACTGAATTTTAATAACAGCATTATTAAGTACATTACTTAAATATGTGAAGCATATAAAGTTCTTAGAATAGCACCTGACAGGCTTACATGTTGGAGCACTATAAAATAGCTACTTTTTTTCTTTTCTTTTCTTTTTTTTGGGAGAGATTTTTGCTATAGGGCACGTGCACACACCAGAAAGACAGAGAGAGACAGAGAGAAGAAAGCAAGAAATCACCCCCAAGGGGAGATGCCCATGCCACAATTCCTTCTCCTCCATTCTCCTCTCAGGATCTTGGGCATGCACACACACGTGCCCGGCGTGAGTTTAAGGCACTGGGTCCAGGACTTGAATCATAGTTGACTACATGTGACCACACACTTAATCCTCCTATTGCCTCAACAAAAGTAGGCACAAGGGTTACCCCTATTTCATCAATGGGAAAACTGAGGCATAGAGAGTGGAGGATATTGTTCCAACATGACACGATTATAAATGTTGCTAGTGGAAGTCAAAACTAGATAGCTGGTTTCATCCTTTACCATGTCAACTAAAATGGAAAGTTTTAGCCCTCCTCAATTCTCCAGTGTTCAGAACACACCTGAAATGTTTTGTGTTGTGCTCCATGGTTCAGGAAGAACATTGATAAAGTCATTTGTATAAAAGGAGGAGGCCAGGTTGGTAAGCATATGCTCTGATGCCAAGTGGTCAGAGTGTAAATAGCAGCACAACACTCAGAGAGAAACAGGACGTGGGGGTCTCTACCCACGCTGACCACTTACTGTCAAGAGCTACATAAATATGAACAAGTCGCTTAATATCTGTATGCCTTAGTTCACTCACCCACCTATGAGGATGGCAATTCAATGGCTACTGAATTTTAATAACAGCATTATTAAGTACATTACTTAAATATGTGAAGCATATAAAGTTCTTAGAATAGCACCTGACAGGCTTACATGTTGGAGCACTATAAAATAGCTACTTTTTTTCTTTTCTTTTCTTTTTTTTGGGAGAGATTTTTGCTATAGGGCACGTGCACACACCAGAAAGACAGAGAGAGACAGAGAGAAGAAAGCAAGAAATCACCCCCAAGGGGAGATGCCCATGCCACAATTCCTTCTCCTCCATTCTCCTCTCAGGATCTTGGGCATGCACACACACGTGCCCGGCGTGAGTTTAAGGCACTGGGTCCAGGACTTGAATCATAGTTGACTACATGGGAGTCCAGTTACATAGCCATTACGCCACTCCTGGTCCCAAGATTGCTATTTTTTATTACGTGTAATCTTGAGACTTTCTCAATTTCTCTTGCCAGATACGCTTTTGCATCTATAATTGGATAATGTTAATATCTACTTCATAGGGCTAATGAAAAGAATAAATATCTATTAAACCTAATCCCTTATGACTTCTTGGCACACAGTAAGATAGACATTACCCAGTAGGGCCACACAGTAAGATAGACATTGCCCAGTAGCCATAGAGGCATTTTATTATTATGTCAACATGCTTCTGAAATTCTTTGTGTCTCGAGTTCTTCAATGACAGCCGTGAGGATGCCCAACTCTAACTGTTCAATAATGAATGTATTTTTCTGTATACACATACATTTTTCTATACATACACAAAATATGGTAGAATGTGGGTATTGACAGACATATTAATAAAAGTATCAAAAATAACTTTAGAAAATTAAATTAGGGAATTTTTTTA